TGCTCACAGTGTCAGACATCAGCCTGGGAAGAAATGTATGAAAATGAAACCAAAAGAAATATATTTTGATTCCTCTCCTGCAGCAAAAAATAATTGTAAGGTTTTAATTGGTTTAGGAGTGGAGTTTTATATTCTTCAAGACTTTAGTGACACTTGTTAGTTTCATTGTTGATTCTGTAGTTCTGCCACTCACCTGTTTCTGAATGAAGGTTTTATATTTGCCCGTTTTCCTAATCTGATGCAGAACAATGGCTGTTACTCATCTGTTAAATGCACTAAGCACAAGCTGTTTAAAACACTGTTAAAAATAACCCCCTGGACTTCAGCTTGTAGCTGCTATGGATCACAAACAGTACATAATAATTTCTGCTTGAAATCTTACTTCAGGACCTATTTTTCCTAATCTAAGCTTTCCTGCTCCACCTAAACTGGAGTTTTTGTGGCTTCTGAATGTGGTACTTTGTATAGATACAGTGCACTAAATTCCCCATATATTCAAATATATGAAGATATTACATTATTGTCTCTGTTATTTTATAAAAGTTAAACATATATTCATATATGTATATAAATGTGTATGCATTTGTGTGCATATCTATAATTCCAAAACTTCAATGCTTGCTATATATGCAAGTATTGATAAAGTCCACATCCATCTTCCTTTTTAATGATAATAAAATAAATGCATATTTTAAGTGCATGGATACCACAATGAAATTAAATATATTTCTATAGTATTTTTTACAGTTTATGTCAAACAAGTATTTGGAACCAATTTCATTTTCAGTGCAAAACCGCTTCTTGCCTGAATTCTGACCTTTGTGAACAGTAGGATATAGATGTCCAAGGAAAAAACCCCACACAAATTGTGCTCAGAAGAATATTCCAAAGTTTTTCTTTTTTCATATCAAACCAAATATATTCTATGCTAAACATTTGAATATTTGGTAAATATTGTAAGAAGGATAGCAGTTTATGTCAAATAGGTTAGATTTTACTCAGCACTTAATCTTCCATGACAGTTTGGCAGTGTTTTCCAGAAGTCAAGGTATAGTGTATTTTGGAGAGCATGCTATTCTTGCTAGAATATTTCTCCTTTTTGTATTTTCCTTCTTTTCGTACCTCATGAATTGGTACGGAAGCATCTGTTTTTTATGCTACTGTATAAGGTTGAAATGTAGAATAAATGTTACTTTGTGTTGTAGGTAGCTTTAAACTTGTGCATGAGAGAGAGAGCTGAAAAGAAATTTTAAACTAAGTGTGGGGAAGTTAAACTCTTATTTAATACGTGGTTTCTTGTTCATGATTTTTAACTGAGTCAGTCATATTAAAAGTGCATTTACTTTGTATTTCTTTCACAGTACTGTGAACCTAAAAACTTGGCAGACTTTGCCTCTTCAGTGGTAATGACATTTTTTTCAGACAGAAAAAACAATAATAAAATTTGAAAGTACAGTACAGGTTGGATATTTTTACCATGTTATCATCTCTTGCTTATGTTTGATCTATTCGCATACCTGTGACTTCAGATTTTTGAGCTGAAGACATGACTGTGAAGTGTAGGCGTATTTTATATCCATTGCCCCAGTTAGTTTTAGATTTGCATTGTATCTTGTGAGGAGAGCTTTATTCACTCTGCAGCTCGGATCTTAAATAGAGGCTGCTCTTAGCTGACCTGACTTCACACACATGTACAATCAGTTCTCAGAGCAATAAATTCTGCTAGACTTTAAACTGAAAAATTAAAATCCTGGAGTAAGACGCAGATCTCATGTATTGCTCTCCAATAGCAAGGAGTATCTCATCTTTATGTTCATAAACCGACGAGTAGGAGATTGTGGTTTAAAACAGAATTGTGAGTTTTCCCTATGGTCTTCTAACTATTTAGGAAATCCTTACTTGTTTTTAGATTTGCAGATGGTTTGAACGGGTTGGCAGTGCAATTTCCAACTGTAGCGATTTAATTGAGAGGTGGGGTTTCTCACCTCTGCTTAGTGTTAATGAGTGTCTCCAGGACTCACATGCTGTGTTGCCATAGAGGTCCTCGAAGAGACAAGTTGTGAGGTAACGAGAGTTGTACAGTTATTTTCTAAACCAGTCAAAACGGGTTTTTTGCTTTTATATTTGCAGTTCTGACAGTAAGTTAAACTTATCTGAAACTGAGTGCAAAAACCTCTTATTTAAGTACTATATTAGAAATTGCTTTGAAAGAATGTTCAAGTTGGTTTGGAGAAAGAATATAGCCTCCATGAGCAGACCTATAATTAGATGGCAGATTAGCCTGTAGCTGCTGAGGTCAGTGACAAATTTATTATCTTTAAATAGTAAATAATGTGCCCGACATGTACAAGATGGCAAATACAGTTCCTGCCCTGTGGAGTTTCCTCCCTCGTGCAGTTAAAAAAGGCGGGGGGAGTGGAAGGAAAAGAGGGGTGCCCATAAAATAGATCTGCCCTATCAGGACTGTTCATGATTGTTTCATTTTGATGGGTTTTTTTGTTTGGTGTTTTTCTGGTCAGTTTTGCTGCAAAGGGCACCAGAGGAAAAATTCAAGAGACAATAAATCATTGGAAAATGTGTTTATTTCACTGCTTGCCTATCTTCTTGATAAATGTTTTAAGAGATGAATTTTCACTGAATGGAAACATAATATTAAACACCAGCAGCTATTTATTTACAAATACAGACTTGAAATATTGGAATACAGAATTTGCCACACTCCTTGTTACCTTCTGTCTTCAGGCTGCCTAGCATAGTTGAACTGAACTGCAGCAGGGACTACATAATTATTCTGAGCAGGCTTCGTGTCCAGTTTTAAAAAATATGAGAAATCCTGTAGTGATCAATGCATAGCTACAGCTGGTTGAAGGGGACCAAATCCATTGAAGAGGTGATTTGGTTCCATTTTACCAGCTTTAGCAAAGCATTGGAGTGCAGGGAGCTTATAATTCAGTAACACGTTTTTAGGCACATGAACAGTTCACAGAGAACATGTGGCTTTCTTCTGTGTTACACAATTTGTTGTCAATGCAAATTTTTAACTCTTTCACTAATTTGGAGATGGCAAAATGAAAAGCTGTATACCAGAAAGGCCTGAATAGATTTGTTCCGTCCTTGAATATTTTCTTGAGGATCTTTGGACGAGTCTCAAATCAAATTAAAGTTACAGTTTTAACTTTTTCCTGTCTGCAGTAATGAAATTTTAGATTAGATTAGATTAGATTAGAAAGTGAAGTCTTAAAATTTCTAATCATGTAGAGTTCCCTTACTACTTTATGTTAAACTTCACTAGGGAAGAAGGTTTCAGTTTTCCCCCACACTCCCCCCCATTCATTTTTTGGCAGGTTCCCTTTTGCAGCTGCTTTTAGGCTGTAGTTGGTTAGCACAAGTATAAATGTCAAGTGCTTTCAATTCCATTGCTATATCTCTGGTTAGTATTAACTTTTTAGGAATGATTATATAATATAGCAGGATATATTCTTTTTTTCTTTTTTTACTCTAATAGTATATGTAAAAAAGCTCAATGCCAGAAAAATACAGCTTTTAAAGAACTATCTGATGCTGCATCTGATTCCTTCTAAATTGAGGTCCCTAATACATTTGTGAGTGCTCACATAGCTTTTTTCCCCCGTCATATATTGAATTCTTCCTGAGCTACAATGGAAAGTAGGGGACAACCTTAGTTCAAACCATTCACTAGTAATGACTGTGTCAAGGATAGTCTACATCTGTTTGTTGCGTAGTCTGATGCTGGTGAGAAGATTTATGTAAATATATTCCCAACACCATGTATCCTAATAGAAACATAGCAGGTGTGTCACTTGGACTTAAGCATCAAGATGGCTATAAAATGAGTTTCTATTTTTACCAGTTATAGAGGAACTGTTTTACAGATACAGCTGCTCAAGTGCACTTTTGGATGGCAATACAGTTTCATGTACTGGCCATATCGGGACAAAAAACGGCCGTGGAAAAAAAGCCGTGTAGCATTTGATAATGTCAGCATCTGTTATCCCTGTCAGTCACACAGTTGAAATGTTTGAGTTACAACTGTGTCAGCAGATGCCCAAAGTTCAACGTGTGCTCAGTTAAAATTGAACAGCTGATCTAAGTGATGGATGTGACATTTTAGAGTGACTGGATATGTATTCTTAGAGATATGCTAACATGAACTAGCAGGAAGCAATGTCAACATATAATTTTAACTTCTGTATCACTCTGAACTGTCATTTTGTTTCGGCATAGCAGTGCAGTGTTATACAAGAAAGAACACAGTATGACAAATAGTTACCAAACCCCTTTCAAAATAAATTTAAGCTGTTAAAAAAAAATGCTCTCATTATATAGTGGAAGCCAAATCAATTGGTGCTGAGCACACAAACTCTTTAGGAAAAGTACTAAACGCGTAGCAATTAACCCCTCAATGAAGCTGCTAGTAATACCAAATTGCTTCTGTGATCGTAATCAAGTTCAGTAGCATTGCTCTATTCAGAAAAGCTACTGGTTCCCAATAAAAAACAGGTTTTAATTTAGATGTTAAGATAACTGTAGCTTTCATGTCAAAATATCTGCTTGTAAGAGCAATAGCTTTAAAACACATATTGATATTTTGCTTTCTTAAGCAGATAAGGTAGTCATACAGATAAGATAATGTTTCTTCTTGTATTTAGGTTAGTATGTAATTTCAAGTGTTAAAAATATCAGGCTATATATATTATTAGCTATTTGAGAATTATGTGAGTATTTAAAAATAATTTCTCCGTCTAAAAATTATACATTGCCTTTATTTATTTTTCTTGTTTGTTTTGGTTTGTGGGGTTTTGTTTTTTTTTCCTTCCAGACATTTAAGTAAGCAAAGGAGTACAGTTAGAATCTTTAATCTGGGCCAAATGTGCCTACGTATCGTGGACATATCCTGTTTAATAACTGCTTTTAGAAGGTTGCTGTCGTGAATAGGAACAGCTGGATTGACGAACAGGGAGTTCTTTCCTTGTGTTTTGCCCTTGTTCCTGAATTTGATGTTGAGTGTCTTTACTTAGGGATAGTATGCACCCGTATGTTTTAATTAATACCGCTTTTAGAACTTGAAACAGATGCTGAACTATTTCTGATGTAGTTCTTAAAATTTTCTGGATGCTATGAAGTCATATTTTCAAGGCCAGTTTTCTTAAATTTGAATTTAAAATAAATACAGCTTATTTGAAAATAGTGTTTAAGAAAACTTACCTTTGAGGTTGTAGTTGTCATTTGTGTTTTCATTTAGGAATCTATCAATAGCTTTAATCCGCTGACTAGCAACTGTGACCTAGAAATCTCTGTATTGTCACTTTCTGTGCTAAACCTGACACTGCACTTTGTATCGAAGAGCTCAGTGAGCATAATAAGTGCTGATTTGGAGAAAATTCTAACTTAAGTCTTATTGAATTGCAGAAGTTATTAAACTCAGTTATTTTGGCAATTATTTTCTCTAAATCACAGCTGTAATTTCTTAGCTGTTAATACTTGTCTCAGTTGCAACCTGTGGAGTAAATATTCTATGGTAGATGCAAATTTAGGTACTACCATCTGAAATACACAGAACAGGCTGTAATTACTAGAACAGTGGCTTGTTTTTGATGAGATACATTTTGATAATCAGTCTTTTAAGTTTACTTTAGGATCTATTAAGTGAGGAGTACTGGTAATAAGTTAGGCAGCTATGCTGCAGTCTTAATTGGTGCATTTCAAGATTACATTTCCAGCCTTGTTTTGAATTCTGTTTGCAACTAATATTCTGCTTATCAGCTGTTAACAATTCTTCCTAGCCACTTTTATAGTCACTTAATGTTTTGTGATTTGTTACTAACAAGTATGGGTTATTTTGGCAATACCAGCTGAGCCTTAGCAGGCCAATTTGTCACATGAATGTCATTCAAACAAGAGGGAAACCTGTTTCTTCCAGCAGCTGTTTAGTTTCCTCTTACTGGTCGTTCCTTGCCTGCCAAAAATACATACTTCTTTACATTCCATAGCATTGTATGTTCATATGGGTACATAAAGAAGTATGTGCTCTGAGCAGGTACACACAGAGTTGCTTGTCTGCCTGTCAGATGAACCTGAAAAGTATTTTGCTGAATTCTGTTGCTGTCATTAGGTAAAACTCGGGATGACAATTCTTTGGAAGAACTATGCTATGATTAACTGATGATAGAAAATAAACTTACTATGCTAACTGAATTTTGCAATGCAATTTACCTGCATAGTGTCTTAAAGCTGGTTATAGTTCATTATTTTGGGATGGCATTGGTGTCAGAAGTGCTTTTCCATATTTTTTCAGTCTCTTGCTGTTTGTTCTAAGTAATCATGTTTAAGTGGAGAGGAGCTGAATGGCTGGTAGCTTTGCAGTGTCTTTTCTTGGAATTTTTAGTTGTAGTCCAGTGTAAAAATCTTCAGCTTCCTCCCAGGTCTTCTAGCAGATTTTCATGCTGGGATACTGTTTGCCTCTTCAGTGTCCTGAAGGGAAGCATAGACTTGTCTAAAATGGCAGTTGTAAAACTTCTTTTCTTACCCCAAATCCCACTTTCATGCTTTTTGCATCCCATCCGGTATTCTGCAAACTCTTTGCAGGTTTGTACTTAGTTACACTGTATTTCAGAGTGGTTTAAAAAAACAAAACAAAACAAACAAAAACCAAACACAAAAGCACATGTCACCGTTGATCCTGCTTATCATAAAGATGATGACATTGAATTAAGAAAACAACCTCTAACTGCTGTGACAGGATTTGGATTGTTAGGCCAAAGGTCACATGTGAAAGTTAATACCTATTCAACACTTCTGCAAGCAGTTTTTCTTGTTTTTTAAAACTGGCACTCACCTGCTTCAGTCAAAGTCTCGTCCACACTTTACATATTTATGACAAGTAAAAAAATTAACCCCAAACAAACAACTAAAAGAAACAAACTCCAAGTTTCATAAGGTTCTGTGCGACTTGTTTTGGAATGGTAGTTAAATATTTGATGTACAGTATGGCTTTCACTTTGAAGGGATTGTCGGATACAGCTCATAGTTGCTTAATTTGTATTTCAGGAGCTGATTGGGGTTACAGTGAAGAGTAAGCTTTGTCTTTACAGCATTAGAAGGTAAACTTGAAATAAGCTTAAGAATTAGTTACTGTAATAGTCGTAAGGAAAGCTGAGAGCAGAGGAAGTAAGAATTTCTGCGGCTCATGACAAAAACCTAGTGCAGCTGATAGAGAGCAAATCAGAGTGTAGCAGTAGCTAGCACAGTACTACAAGGAGAATCAGCAATGCAGCATTAGAATCACAGCAGTCACATTCTAGTTTTTAAGTAGGTTGTTTTCATGTACATCTGAGATAAAGCACCTTGAAAATTTTGCTTAGACCTATTTGAGAACTCAGCATTGCACTACCACACTGTTTATTAGGTTTTCTTTTTAAAGTTGGTAATTTTTTTAGTTGTGCATAGGAAGATAATATATTTCACTGAAATGAACAACCAGTTAATGGCATTGCAGTTTATTAGTTTATCTTCTTTAAAATGAATTCTGCCTACCAAGCAAGTTGGGGTTTGTTTCTTTTTTTTCTTTTTTGCTATGAAATTTGGACTAACGTTGTTTTCTTTCAACCTCCTCTTTACACTACAAATGCTTGGTACTTTAACACACTCAAAATTAAGCTGTTCCCTGAGTAGAGGGATTAATACAACAATAAAAAAAACATTCTAGTAAATAAGATACACATGCAGAAAGTCATAGGCATCCTTTAAACGTGCAGAATAATGCAGGTCTCCTGATGTTCTGTTACCTGTAAGCTTAGTATCATGCAGCATTTGCAGTTGGAAGAGAGGTAATGACCTAGAGACACATCAGCAGCAGCCATCTCATCCTGAGTGCTCTCTCACTCTATTCGCTGAATCAGCTCTTCGTTACATGGGAGGGGGAGGCAAGGGGGGGCGAATGTCGGTGCATACAGTACCTCACCACCTTAAATAGATAAAACTTAAAAGGAAAAAAAAAAAAGGCATGAAGATGGGTGCCTAATTGGCACCTTCTGCCTTTGTTTGAATGCTAAAATATGGATGATGTTGTATAGAAATTATACCTTATGTCTGCTGGACTGAGAGTTAAGACTCCAAGGATAGATGCTAGGAAGCCAAGGGAAGGTGAACTTAGCCCACTGTCAGATGAAAATAATCACAGCCAAGAAGAAAAATAAAAACCCAACAGAAGACCAAAACCAAGCCCCCAAAAGTTGGAGTTGCTTCCAAAAGAAAAAATAAAAAAAGGCACCAAAAAAATAGCGATCGTTTCCCCCCTCCCCCGGCAAATATTGGTTTCTTCTAGTTCCTTAGATATTGCACTGCATCTTTTCTTGCTTGAGGTTATGTTTCCAGGCTTAACTGTAGGCAGGTCTGTGTTGAAGCTACTTTCCATCTTCAGAGGTCAAGTCTGCTAGCGAGGTCAGGGCTCCCGCAGACACACTACAGAAGACACTAACCGTATTTCCCACTTAGAGGGCACGAGCAAAACTGTTACGGCTTTATAGGCAGCTAAGCATTTGAAACATGCACTCCCAGGCAAACAGGCTCTCTTGTGCCTCTCTCTTCCCTGACCATATTTAGTCAACCATTGCAAAAAATAGTCTCTCAGCTGTCGATTGTCGATCCGGCAGCAAAGGGAGCCTCTATCCAGCTCTCTGCCTATTGATTGTGCAGCCTGCACTTCCACCGCCGCTTAGCCATTTGTCCCCAGGTTTTTTTAGCACTGCCAAATAAAGCTCTCTCTCGTGTTTCCAGTTAGATTTCCCAGGTTTTCACTGAGCTTGCGCTGCTACTAGTAAACCCTGATGAGGCTGTCACTATACTTAGAAACAGGGGTGGGGGGGGAGGAGAGGAAGAGGGGGGGGGGAATAAAAAGGCAGCCCTGCTAGTAACAAGGCAAGGACTTCATGCAGATATAGAACAATAAATATCCTGTGCTGCCACTGCAGATTGTGTAACCTGGTTTCTTGATCAGTGAAAAATGCCGTGACTAACAACATGTCGATTAACTCGAGGTCTGAGCGGCCTCAATCTAAGTTTTCAGATGGAAATCATACAGTTATTTTTATAAATAAGAAGTCGGTGTCCATTTGTAGCCCTTAATTTCCGTATTCAAATCAAGTTAGAAATTATTTGAGAAAAACTTTAATTAGTAAATTCTCATATCATTACAAGTCATTTTGTTAAATAATTCCATAGTATATTGTTTACAATGCTTATCCATAGAATTACTTCTAAAGAAAGTAAATGCACGTGTAAATTAGGTGCTACTTTCTTTGAAGAAACTGAAATATTTTAGAAGAAAAGAATTTAAAAAGAAATCAAGGGAACTGCTTACTGCATTAATCTGACTTTCATGTTTACAAAATTGGCTTGTGGCAAGACTAATAACTGCACATTCAAAATATGCGGAGGGATTTTCATATTCATAGGGAATATATGCAATGTTTTCTTTAAAAAAAAAAAAACAAACCCACAACTAAAATTTAGCCATTTGAATACATCAATAAGCAATCCAAATACTTCAAGACTTTTTCTATATTTTCCAGAAAATATCCTTGCTTGGGAGAAGGAAGAATGAAAAAGCTGAAAATATCTCAATCTAAAATGGAACTGATTAAATGGAAATATCATCTCAATGAATACTGATGTAATTAGTAGTTACAATGTTCAGTACTGTAGGGTAGAGAGTGTATTGCAAAGTCCTGAGCAGACCACTGTCTTGGATTGATACTTCCATTGCGTCCTCTTTTTGTGTTGATTTTGTCCTGTGCTCGGTAGCTGCTTACTCTGTAACTAGGGTACTACACCCTTTTGCAGTGTAGTTTTCTGATAAAAGTCACATTTTTTCTTTTCTCTTTGATTTCATAATTATACACTGAAGACAAAATCATTGTGCGAGGTCTAAGCTAATGCAGAATACATTTTTGTGTATTTTGTGTAAATTTATATACCTCATCATTTCTTTAGTTTCATGGGTATTGAAATTGATTTTTCAAAACTGAGAGATGCTTGAAAATCTGAAAATTGTCAAGAATGAAGAAATAGCCTCTCTACTTAAACTCTTATTAACTAGGCCATGTGCACTATTAAACTCCAATTTCAGGATACAACATGCTTAGTAATACCAGTCTAAGGTATTAATCTATTCCTTGTTACTTGTTCCTGAGGGGATAGATACTTCCTTCTTCTTTCTTCCAGTGTAACACTCTGTACTGCAAAGTGAGTGTGGTGTGAACCAAATCAGGGAACTAACTTGGCTTGAAGTCGTGTGCTGACGTGCTCTTACGGTCGTATCGTTGCCAAAAATAGCACTGTCCTGCTCCCGTGTTACTTCTTGCACTATGTTGGTACAAATATTTCTTTGGCCTCACAGTGAGCAGGCTTGGAGTACTATTCTGTATGAGAAATAATCCAACAGGAAGGGGTGACCTTTTAGATGCTGTGTCGGGACCACTTTTGGAGGGAGTTTTCAGAGCAGGACAAGAAGGGGATTAGTTAAAAGTAGTTTTGCTTCTGTTGTTTTGTAAGATAAATGTCAGGCTATATAGCCGTAAAAGAAAACTTTGCTGTAGAAGCTGTCTTTAAATCTGATCTGTTCCCTCAACTGTGTGAGGAGCTAACAGGAGGTGGGTGAACAAGCTTTAGCTCAGCCAGGGTTGGGAGTCAGTGGAGAGGAGTATGTGGGGGTGAAGGGTGGTGTATTTGTGTGGGGAGTACTTCAAGCCAGGATTACTGTAAAATATATTATGAAAGCACATCACACTGAGACTGTGGAAGCCTGACCTGGGGGAGGAGAATGGCAGGGAAGTAGAGGAACCTGTAGTAGAAAGTGCAGTGAGTCATTACAACCCCTGGTGATATGATTACTGATAAGTTTATGCTGATCTAAGACTTTACTCCTGTCTGCCCTCCCTGCAACTCTGGCTTTATCATGTCCTTACTCATACTGCTTCTAGTGCTCATGAAGTTGCAGGGTAAGCTGAATTATCTCGTTGATCTGTCTGAAAGCAAAGTTACCAAATCAAGAGTCTGGCAGGTTGTTTCACTCACTAGAGAGTGGTGTGCCTATGAAGCCAGCATAATGCAGGAATTGAAGTGCAGGGCAAAGTGGGATTGTGTCTTTCAGTAGCAATGTAAGTTAAACGTGCTTGTGGAGATTGTGAAGTAGCCTTTCTAATTTTTTATACCTAAGGTCTGTTCTTATAAAAAACCCAAAAGGCCAAACAAACCAACCCACCCCACCACCATCCAGCAAACCCTCAACCTTCCCCATTTACATAATTCTGCAGTCAAATTGCAGTTGGTAGCAGAGAATCTTCTCTAGTTTTAATTCATGTATTTTTTTTAAGCAGGGTGGAAGGGTGCCTTTGCAGTTAAGACTGCTAAATCTGGAATCATTTTTATACAATGAAGTGCTAGCTTCATCTTGCTTACAAGTACATTCATCTTGTAGATTTTTCCAAATAAGTCTGTTATTGTATGTCACATTCTCAGGTAATGCTGATGAGCATCTGTAAAAATTCTGAGTAAAATACTGCATAAAAAAATTTATATGTAGGTTGATAATGAATAATATACCATATGCTAACTTCATCATAACAATTATTTTTTCTTTTTGTATATCTAATGTTGGTGACTGGTGTTAAAACAAGTGCTCCGTGCAGCTAAAAATTAATTAGGATACTGTTCAGATCTGTGATGCATTTTTTTTAATTGCAAATAAAATTCACGCTGTTGAATTTCCATGGCAAGAGTTGGAATGAGATGATCTTTAAGGTCTCTTCCAACCCAAACCATTCTGTGTTAAGCTGTAGTTCCAGAATCTCTAAAAACATGAATTTAAAAAGAAAAAAAAAAAAGTATTACTTGTATAGCAATGTCAAATTAAAGAGGCATGCAACAGCAACATTTGCTGTTATTCTCAAATTAAATGTAGCAGTGTATTAATGGGTGTTCTTTCTACCAAATCACTTGTTAGAGCCTGGGCTGTCATTTTATGGGGATCAATTATGGTGGGCTGTGTAAGTTACTGTACCCCCAACAATCTTTTTCAGCTTCCTGCTAAGCTGAAAATACTGCAGAACAACAAATACCATAACTTACCCCTTTCAAAGTTTTTTTTCATTAGGGATGCTTTAGTAATAGTACATAAATAGCATAGTGATGGCATAATTTCAGTGTTTCAATATGAGTTTTAACCATTTTACCAATAATCTTTGCAGCTACTCAATCAGCCATGTAATCTGTAACAGCTGAATGCATTGAAGATCATAGTCTGAAAAGTTTTCTTCAGCTGTTTTCATGATCAGGGCTACCATTAGATTTGCTTATTTCTTGATCTTTTCAGCACAGCTACAGTGAAAGTAGCCTGTAGTCTGTTTTAGTGTATTCGAGATGAAATCAAGTTTTCAGGACCACATCTGTGTTATGATCCTAAAAGCAGAGCAGTACAACCCAAATTCTTTAATGCTTCATGGGAAAAGTGAATCAAGAGTTACTATGCAATTGGCAACATTAATTCAGCTAATGGCACTTTTTATGATACAATGCATGCCTGTTCCAGTGAGTGCTGCTCTGAATGGTAGCCACTTAGCTGTCAAAATTTTGGCAGCAGCTCCAGAAAATCCTACAAAAATTGAAAGAAACTACCTCTCAGCTAGTGAAGAAGAGGGTGCAGCCACTGAGCATCAAAAAGAATTTGCTATTGTAGCATATTAATATCTTGCAGAATTTTAAGGTGTCATTCCATGAAACAGTCCTTCTGTCCTACTGCCCACGAATATAGCATGGTCTGAAAGAGAGATATGCAGACTTTTCTTGCGTACATAGAAACAACTGAGTAGTTGCTGTGGTAAGTAAGATATAAGTCTGTTCCACACAGAAGCCATTTTTTTGTTTTGGTGGTCCTTCTGTTTTTCCAGTAAGACCAATTCATTTTAATAGCTCCAGAAATGTAGCAGGCATCTCATTTCTATGAAAACAAGATACTCCCGAATGTTTTTCAGTCAAACTTAAGATGAAAATTTTCCTGCTATAGACAGCAAATTAAATAGGAAAAGATTTGAAAGAGGATCTGGTAAGGCTAGCAGTAATGCAAATACTAGAATGAATGATTTTTTTTTCATAGCACACAAAATATTGAGTCAATTAGTTTTTTATTTTTCTTTCCAGGATGAGAGGTGTTAAAGAAATGTCAGTAATGTTTCTGAAATATATTCACTTTCTGAGGCATCTGTTAAAGTGTGTGAATATACTTTAAATTTTATTTTATTTATCTCTGGATTTGGCAATTTTCTTATTTCTTTTCAGAAGAAAAGGATATAAAATATCATCTGAGTTGTTTAGAACAGTTCCTTGTTTGGTGACTAGAGAGCTACTTTAAAGACAAGCTGTTTGTAATTAGATTTAATTGTTGATGCCTTTTCTAGCATTCCTCAAGTTGTAGTTGCAGTTGTGAGAAAAATTTCTTGACCTTGGGCTTTTTGTTACGCTATTGGTGCCCCATTTTTTCTCTGGTCACTCACAGTGGTCATACTGCTTCTTTCATTTTTTTTTATTCTGTAAGGTATTTTTTTTATTGTGGGTTTTTTAGATGATCCTCAGTAGGTACGTTAGAGATTTATGGGGTCTGTAGAAACGCTGAACCTGACAGGTGAAGATGTAGAGCTTCCCTGACATGATGCCCTGTAGGAAGCCACTGTAGAAAGACACGTTGTGCTGCTGGTACCATGTGCTC